TGTCAAAAGGCCCCTGAATTCTTGAGGAGTCTCTTGGACTGCTGATATTTTTCTTCCCACAACAATTAAGGCAGTTGAGCAGATAGAAGATATCTGAGCTCTGGACCTCCCATGTATACCACACTGCCTGTTATCAATAGATTGGGTGTCAAACACATAGGTTAGAGAGGGACATTGGCCATAAAGAGTGTGTGTGATTTGATACTGATCTTCTCAGGAATTAACCTTGTAGTCCCTCCAACTGTTCCTCTAAGACACCAAAAACATGGCATCACACTTCATCAGCTTGACCCCGATCCCAAGGTGCTGAGGCCATCACTTTTCAAAATACGCTGCACATTGTTCTCTGAACAACACTTCTCGCACACAGGTTCATTCCCAGAGCACAACTTCAAAGATTATTCAGATTTTACCATGGTGTGGATAAATTTTTTCCTAATCAACTTCTTTTCCAAAAATATAGGTCACCACCTGCATAATCTAGTTCTCTCTTACTCTTCTTCCTTATCCATGCCAGGGGAGATTTACAAGCCTGGGTAACATTTATGAATGCTATCTCATTCCCATCAATCAATGTGTCACTCCCAACAAAAGGCAGGTGGTTAGTTAAATGGCACCTAAGCTCTTAACCTAGAATGTAGCACCCAAACACCTATCTTTACAGGTAATTCACCTTATTGTTACATCCAGGCACCACCAGAAATAGACTTCCTTCATTCACTCTTATGTCAATGTCAGGGTTCTGTGGCCATGAATTCACTTCCCTCTCCAAGTGCTCATCACTTTTTCTACCACACCTCTCTCAAGCCTGCACTTCCACAGCCCCAGCCCCCATGTTCATCTCCTGGCCTTTTACTTATTACTCAGCACATGTTGTCCAGAGGACGGCTGCCAAATTGAATCATGATCAAGTACTACCCAGACTCTGATAGCCCAAACTCATAGAGGCAGCCTTGAGTCCTGCTACATAGGCCTCTCTCCATGACTGTTTTTTTTTTCTCCTTCAACCACAACTATTAAGAAAAACAATCAGATCTCAGATATCCATAGCCCACCTCCTGTTATGCTGCACTTGATGTCCTTTCACTAGTAGCAGTCAACATCTCTCTTAACCTTCACTCAATTCCCAGCCCCGATGGCCCTCTGCACCATGCCCAGTGAGTTTCACAGATGACCACTCAAGCCCTTAGCTAATCGACAAGACTGACTGCAACTCCCCACAGTCAGGTCACAAGGGTCACAACAAAATCCTGGTGAGTTTAGAAAAGTTGATATGTACCAGCCCTAGTCTCATGTTGTTTGAATTACTCTTTGGTCTCCAATTAACCTCAGGTCCACTCATCTTTTGAAGATATCAGCCACTGCAAAACGATTATCTCTCCTCCACACTCTACATGACAACTTCTGTCCCTATGCTGTGTTGTGACACCCACCTCCCACAAACAGTGGCCCCAGCAAGAAAGCCAGTCCTCAGGCTCACACTGTCCCTTCTGAGCTACTACCACCATTACCAACCTGACCATGATTCCATGTATTAAAGTGATCTACAGTGCTGGCTGATGTGTCTCAGTTGGTTGTGCATAGTCTCATGCACTGGTGAGGTCACATGCCTGGGCTGTTGGCTGGATCCATAGTAGTGATTGTGGATCCTTGTTTCTTGCTCATCCCTGTTTCTCTCTCTCCCTCTCCCTTCCTTTCTACATCTAATATCAATAAAAATATATATGTATTTTAAAAAACATACCTGCAGGTTCCTGATTCAGCTCGCTTTTTACTCCAAGCCTTTGCACATTCTGGAACCTATGTCTGGAGGACCTTGCACTCATTACACTGGTTGCCATAAACAAGTTCCACTTCATGAAGCCCTACTTCTGGCCTTAGGAGTCTGGGTTGAGTGTCTGTTCAAAGTCCCCAGGTCCACGAGATACAAGAGCAGCTGACAGTCCCAGGACTCTGCTCTCTCAGAGGTCACAAGGGGGTGAGGCCCTGAATTAAGCTCCACAAACCCGTACACCTAATTCATTCTGCATTTGCAAAAATTTGTGGAAAGAAAATGGTCTGTTGACAGCCTGGCACCCACCAGGCTCTATGGGCTCAGGCTGCTCAGTGCCCTTGCCCAGCCCAGAGGCCAGGTGCCCTCCAGATGCCTGTGTTATCTCAGGGCTCCATCCTCAGTGCTCACTCTTGCCAGCTCCCTTATAATGTAAAGACTTCCCCTTCCAGTCCACAGCTGCTGTCCTCTGTCTTCCAGTCTGTCCTTCCTCTGAGCAATTTAGGAAAAGTTAGAATCCGGCCTCAGTGTGCTAGGGGCAGGGGCCTAACAAAGAAGAATTACTAAGTAGACTGAGGGGCAGGGACCATGGGAAAGAAAGATGGCTAGCCCTGGCCAGCGTGGCTTAGTGGATGGAGTGTCGGCCTGCGGACTGAAGGGTCCCAGGTTCGATTCTGGTCAAGGGCATGTACCTTCGTTGCAGGCACACCCACAGTGGGAGGTGTGCAGGAGGTAGCTGATCGGTGTTTTCATGTTGTCTCCCCTTGTCCCAAGGCCGATGACTCAAGAGAGGCAGCAATGAGAGTGTGCCTAGTCCTGGTGACCGCTGGATGAGCACTCAGAGGTGAGGACGCCTGAGGCCCTGCCCACAGCG